ATTCGTCATTCACATCATTTGATATCAGCCGTTTCGGCTACAAGAGGTCACAATGAATTTAACACTAACATAGACATACATAAAAACTTACATTATTACGTTACTTATGAAAAAAAAATCACCAATTAGTCGGTTCCGTTTTTCTAAAAACTATTAAAAAACCCGACCTATTGAGAAAAATGAGGCATATTGAGGAAAGCTCTATGCAATAAAGACGCCCAATCCACATTTTTAAATATTTTTATTTATATTTTGTGAAGATAAACTAAGTATAAGAACTTTTTTAAAATCGGAACACCACAAGATAAGGAAAAAAACGGACAGTTTTTTTTACAGTCAGTAATAACCTATTAATTATATTTATTATAATAACGTTAGAATCAATTGTAGAAACCATTTTTTACAACCATACAAGACCCCTGACCCCGGCTAGCGGCTGTCGAAGCTTGTTTTTCTTGTGTAATAAATAGACAATTCTTTCAAACAAAACCTTCCATTCCGTGAAACAAACAAACCGATTGCCTTTTTTGTTTATAAATACGATGTGCCAAGAATGTTGACTTGTTGGTTGTTCAGAATGTTTGAAAAGTAAAGAAAAAATAGAATAAAGGAAGAAACTATCTACTTTCATAATCTTACTAATGTTATAGATGTGAAAGTTTAGATGGATGGATGGATGGAGGTTTGTTACAGTTTATAACCTAAACTGCTGAACGGATCTCGATGAAATTTGATGATACTCTGGTAGAACACATAGGCTACACTCTTGGTTTATTTTAATTCGGACGGACGGAGTTGCGAGCGAAAGCTAGTTTATTTACAAAATAAAGATTTTATGTAAAAGAATTGAGAAAGGTACTTTTTGCGCATAGTATATTTTATTTTGACTACGACTCCATTAGAGCTAAAATAAGACCAAAAAACTAAAAAAAATTGTATAATTATCACGTGTAAGACGATAATTGGTAACATTTCTATATTAAATTAAAACAGTTTTATTAAATATGTAATTTCCTACGTAATAAATCATTGTCAAGTAAATAAATACAGGATAATTTAAGCCATGTGTAGGCTCACGTGTTTTGTTCCTACGCGATATAATTGCTGTAATTCCAATAGTCAATATGTATACTAATATTATAAAGATGAAAGATTTGTATTTTAGGATTTTTGTATATATTTGATTCACGCAAAAACTACTGCGCCGATTTCAAAAATTCATTCACCATTAGAACGGTAATTTATCCACGGGTAGGCCATGTTTTATTTTATTTATTTATTACTTCACGCGAGCGAAGTCGCGAGCACAACTAGTCTGCTATATTTCATTTTAAAAAATATTGTCCACGTGGAACTAAAAAAGTCAATAAGCACCCTATATGCTCTTCCATATTTTATTCAACATCTGGGCCTTTGATGGTAACTCGTTAAGCAGTTTTGCAGATTTGTAACAGTTTTTTTGTTTTGTTTTGCAGCAGTTTTGCAGACGTACAAACATCCATCAATCTAACCAAACATTCGAATTTATAACATTAGTATGAAATTAAATATCCGAAGCCGAAGCCGGCAGTTAGGTTAACATACACAACTTACACCTTCTTTTGGAAGGATACAAAATATTAAAAAATACACGAAAAATATTATTTAAAACAGAAATTCTTTATATAAATATTGAAAACTAGTTTAATGAAATACAACAACTGGGTAACCTAAATTACAATAATTAATTACCTTATAAAGTAACCTTGTCTATAATAATAGCAATTGTCTTAACTACTCTGAATAAACAATCATTGACTAACTTGTTTTACCTTTAATATTATGTTTTCTATAATAATAGATTTATTATTGAAAAATAATTCCATAGACGTACCACATAATTTCATATCTATAAGAAATTCACCACTAAAAACATAAACCAAATTCGTAAGACGATTTTTTCAGATTTTTTCAGATTTTTCTTATCAGAAATTGTACAAAATAATACATACACAAAATAATAATAACCGTCAAATGTTTATACTATCGCTATCTCTGTTTCCAAAGACAATAAGAAGGACGGCAAATGTAATACAGTAACAAGTTTGAGAGAGACAGAGATTTATTTAATGAAGACAAAGTCCCGTAAAACAGTAAAATCATGGTATCACTATCAGACGTATCATTTCAATTGTAATTATCGATTGTGCCTACCAGTGATCTGCGTTTTGTTTTTCTTACATACGTAATGTGTTTAGCTCATTAACTAATTAACCTGCAAGTATACGTACAGTCGCGGAAACACGCGGTGTACCATTTACAAAAAAATGCCTTGTTCCTTACAACTAGACGAACTCCACATATCGATACAAATCACCTAAAAATACAGCGGTAGGGCCCGCTTTAACATCTTCGCACGAATAGGCCGGCTCGCCCGGTGTGGGAGCAATTCCGCGTTTCGTCTGATGAGTGTGGTGCCGGAGGCTTAATTTTAGTCCCTTTCCCTTTCCAACCTTTTCTTAAGAGGAAAGGAAGGAAAGGAAAAGTGGATTTGAAGGTAAAGGAGACGCATAGGAAAGGGAAATGTCCTCTTTATGTGCGTCTCCTCCTGCGTCAATTAAGGTTAGGCAACGCATCTGCAATTGCGGATGTTTATGGGCAGCGGTCGCTTTCCATTTCGGTGGATTCAGGTTGGCGCTTGCTCGTGTTCCACCTTAAATTATAAAAAAAACACTGCCAGATACCCTAACTGTACATACTATAATAACATGTCCCCGCGTCAAACAAAACAAGCGTGGAAATTATACACATATCTTCAAAACATGTAACTGACCCCGCTCGTTGCAAATATTTACAATTATAAGCAATAACAAAAAGCCGTTTTTACATTGTTATTAATAATTTATTTTCTAATATCACCTAAAACTAGGTCTCTTTCAATAGTTAAACCGAATGTAGGGTCAATATTAATTAAAGACTTTTTTAAATTAACTCAATTTTGAAAAAGGGTATACGGACATTTATACAAAAGACTATCTTTCACCCGCGATTCCGTCCACGTGGAAGTAATTAAAATAAAAGTAGCCTAGGTTTCCATCGATCTAAACTTACGCATTTATAATATTAGTATGATGTGCATATGATTAGCATAAATGGTTTATTAATTTTTAATCAAATATAATTATAAACAGCAATGAAACGTAAAGCGTAAAATCTCATTAATTTTGCAAGCGGTTATTAAAACAGCAAATTTTACTGTTGCAATAAAAGTTAATTGAAAACAACAATAATCGATACGCGCACATAAATATTCATACTGCTTACGAATGCAATGTATATTAACAAAAGGATTGTCGACCGCACCCAGAAACATTTAGCCGCTTAGGAAACACACTAAGAAACTACTTAAATAGCCGACACTGAGACAAATAAAGTTCTTCCGAAAGAATTAATTTATTTCATCTAAACTGATTTTTTCTATACAATTATAACATTGAAATTACGCAAAGAATCAAATTGAAGTTATATTTTTTGAGTTATTGAGTATCCCAAAAATTCCTACTAAAATAATATTTCTTCATAATGCAATCAATAACTTAAAGCCTATTTCCACTAATGCGATCACGGCCAGTGGAACCACTTCCTAATGCAGAGAGTAAACATAAAAACATTTTTGTATAAAAACTTGCAACTTTTTCGGGCTGAATTAAAAAAAAATAGTAACAAATATAGCCTGTTACTTAATTAATCTTTCTCATAGTAAAAGAGTTTTTGATCGATCCAGTAATTTTTGCGTTCATTCACTACATAGAAAAATACACATATTTTCTGCTATGCTATTAAAAATCATTTAAAAACAGTATCTTAACCCTGATAGCGCCCTTGCCTTCTAATAGATTTACGATATAACCTTTAATATGGTAATATCACTGTCAAAAACTTGCTTTAACTCGTATATAAAAATCAAACTATTCACTTTAACCGTGGGCTTCCATTACCAATTAAAGATAGAATACAAACGTACAATTATATTTGTTTTTCAAGTTCGCACCTTTGAGTAAGCCTTCGCACAACAATTGCAAATGTCAAAATGACATGACATGAACAATCCATGGCAACCTTGCTTCCTTGATGTTGGCAGCAACTTATGGTCTCTTTCCCACATTTGTGTTTTTATCCAAAATGTACCCCCCTAAGGCGTGGAAATGTATAGCCTAAAGTGTGACGTAAGTGTAGAGCTTTTCATTAAAAAAATAATTATTCAATAATATGCTGTAATTGCTGACATCTTAGGCAACAAAGAAGTGTGTGTTTACGTTTTATTATATTAGAATAGATATAGATTTAAATTAATGCCATTGGTTGTCTAATTTCGGTAAACTCCGGTATATGCCATTATCTCTCATGTCACTGTACTTGCGAGCGGAAGTCGAGATATAAAACAATGGACAAACCACACGACATTTTACACAATTAAACCTGCAAACTGACATAACACTAAAGCACAGTTCTAATTGACAGTTTTAAGTGAACAAACTGATCAAAATTGTGTATGCAAGCATGAATTCAACTGATAGGTGAAGTAACTGCGCATCTACTGAGCGTCTGTAGCGAGCATAAGCGTGGGCTACGTCAGTTATCAGCCATTTAAACAAAACAGTGATCTGTGTAAACCAACCTTTACCAGCATCGATGTATAGAAGAAATTAGGAATCTTCAAAATGGTATTCAGATAAAAGAAAATGTGT